GATTAACCGCCTTCGTGTTTGTCCCTTTCTACCTCGTTTTTTCACCATTCCCGAAAATCTTCTCCCAATCTTTTTTATTTCTCCCCCTTTGGGTTAGTTCAACAGTCAATTTATCTACTCATTTCTGTAAATTATTGCAAGTCGTTTAATATTTTCGGATTAAACTTTTTTTGTGTTTTAAACTCAGACGAAAAAGCTATCGTTTATTTCAGATGAGGCTGCAGTTTAAATGCCAAAAGAGGGAAACAGTAAATAAAATTGAAATTCTTTGTAAAATATATCTGAACCTAATGGTTTGTACAACTGAAAAGTCGTTCTAGGTTAGTTTCCCATTAGACACGACTCTGCCGCTGTGAGGTGTGAGGCACATTGTCCAGGAGACGATTTTGTATAGTATTTTTCTTGTACATTACTTCCGGTAAATATTTGAAAATATATTGAAGTAAACTTGATTTTTTTTCTTTTTTTGTCAGAAGAAAATATTAAGAGTTATTCCTGAGGTTCTGATGAGCTGCAGGTTTTTTTGAACTCAATTCTGGAGGTGCAGAGCCACACCCGCACTTTTCCCGGCCTAGTTTTGCTCGAATATGAATTTAGATAGGTATCAAGCTGTAACTAAGACACTGTTTGATAAATGTTGGATGACATTTAATTTAATGGAGCATGTACTTATTTGCATTTGCTGGCAGTCCAGGAGTAGTTAAAGTGAGAGTTCTTCTATACTTCATAATAACGGGGTCTGGCAAACCCATGTATTAAATAAATTGTCCAAGTGATACTCGACTAACTTTGGCCTTTGTGTATTTCCTAAAGGTGATATTGTTAACTGTTGACAAACACTTCTGACACTACATTTAAGTGTTGTTTGCAGAGTCTGCAAACTAACTATTCATTGTAATGTTGAAATAATTTGGATATTTCACATTGAAATGAAAAGCCTTTCTCTGGAACATTTTAGACTTGCATTTTAAATGCATGAAATGTAATTGATTTATTTGTAATATTTTAAATGGTATTAATAAACTCAGATAAAAGACTAGGTCAGTTAATTTGTATTTTTTTCCCTTTTAAAACTATGGGCATTTGCATTTTATCTTCAGTTTTATGTCTAATTTAAACAAAATATGACCCTGTTTTTTGGTAATATTTAAGTATTTGCCTTTAAGATAATATGTAGATGAAAGGTCTATTTGGCAAAGTTGTGTTTTCTTTGTTTACCAAGATAAAGATTATAGTGTCTAAGATATGTAATTAATTATTTACCATTAGATTTAGCTCATAGCGTCAGGATTTATTGATCTCTTAGAACTTGTAGTAATTTACCAAACAATTCAAAGAGATTTTATGTTGCTGCTTCCTTCTCCGGCTTCAGAAGGCCTCAGGTTGTTGGCCTTTGATTGCATTTAGTGTTTAAAAGGCCAAGACTTAACATGAAAGATCAATATATCTAAAATAAAAGCATCATTTGGAGATCACTTCTGTTGTTAGGAGGCAGAGGAGGTCAAGCTATCAAAAGCTTGTTTTTTGGCATTCTGTCATAGCTAAAGAGTCTGCAGAGGTAAATATTAGTAGATTCCTGTTGAAATGAGTTATCTGTTCTTTAAAAGTCTCTAAACAGTCACCAAAGAAAGGGAAGGTTAAACCTTAATCTATCTACGAGGCTATTGTTCAAAGGTGTCAATGATGCCAATAAAAAGCATTGTCTTGTTATGTCTAAGTGCATTTAAGCAATGAGTGTTCCTTGAGCCATACTTTGAAACATAATATACTTTAAATGTTGATTGATGTTATATCAAACTATTTCACTATTAGATTAATATTATTTTGAATCAAACTGAATAAAAAGTTAGTGTGTTGAGATTCTGCTAAGTTTAGCTTCTTTCTTTCTGTTCACATACTCCTCACACTCAGTACAGTCTTGGTATTCATCTTGAATTGAAAAAATTTTCCTAGAAATTTATGTAAAGTTATAATACACAGAAGTAAAAAATGCAGCGGATTATAAATCCTATAGAAAGTCTAACCAAAAGCAATCAGGTTTGTAGTTCAATATGCTGTATATACTGTTGGTGTCCAATCAACAGAGTCTTCATCCAGCTGTCCACTCCACTCACACTCAAGTCCTTGTGGTCAGAGATAAACAAGTTAATTTGATATTTTGGGATACTGTGGCTCTAAGAAATGTTTGCTAAGGAAAATAAAATAGTTTCTGTCACCTTTTTCCTAGGACACAGTTTAAGTGTTTCTTTTTTGTTGAAACTTGCAGTAGCTGAGGGATGCGGAGAGGCCACTTCTACAGTTAATATAAAGGCAGGTAAGAGGCCAGCTGCTTGGTCCTTTCATAGGAATGAATATTTGATTGGAGAGGTGGATTGTCTGAGAAATGATTTCTTTGGGGTGCAGAAAGCAGGGCTTATTGTTGTCTTGTAGGTGTTCAAACTTTCACTTTCTTTTCTTCCCTCGGTTTAGCTTGAATTTAGTTTAGTTTTATTTATTTATTTTTTATGTGCGGGGAGCAGTATTTCTAACTTAGTCTCACAGAGTGAGCAGAGTCCTCTTTGGGGCTGAACAACATGTGTCTTTGGGGAGGAAGGAAGATGACACACAAAGGGGGTTCTCTTCTGTGTGCTGATAATGGCTAGAAACTCACTGCCATGAAGCCAGAGAGGCTGTCACTTTGAACCAAAGGACAAGCTTCCGGGCTTGCAGATCAAGGTAGAGTCAAACTAGCTGTTGACCCAGAGGTCAGGCCGGCCTGTGTCAGCCCACCCTCCAGAGTCTCAGAAGGCACTGCCCCCTCCCCAAGGACTGGTGCTATTCAGCCCTCCCGGTTCCTCCCTCAAGCCTTCCCCAAGCTTGAGTCTGAACTTCCCCACCTTGCCTGCTTTTCCGCTGACTTCTTTATCACCTTTCTTTTTAGACGAACTTGTTCACTTAGGTACCTGACTTAGGTGAAGCTAGACTAAGATATTTTATGTAGGAAGCCTGATTTAAACCAATGTGGTAGTTGGTCTTCCACAGGAGTGATGCTGGAGACTGTTCCTGGGCAGGCTTGTGTCTCCACTGCCCTTTTCCCCTGTCTTGGTGTAAGGACCCACAGCTACCAAAGCCCCGCAGCAGGCAATGAGCGGCCCTTGCATCTTAACTATTTCAGCCTACCGTTTTTGTCTCCCCATGGATCTTTTAGTCAGGTTATTGAATGACAAAAAAAATATTTAAAAAATGAATGTTTTATTTGTTAGAGAAGATTACCTCACAAGTCAGAGGATAGGGGTGGGGCGCTGGTAATTAAAGCAAAAACATTTGGGGGAGAAAGTGTAGAATTAAATATACCCAGACTGCCTGAGATAGTAGAGACAAATACTCATTTGTGTTTCATATAAATGAGGCAGTGATTTGATCCCACTATCTATTTTTAATAAAGTGTGGTTTTAAATTTTTCTGCCTTGAACAATGTTGCAGGCATTTCTATTTCATTTCTATCGCTCCCCCTACATCACTAAAATAACTACGTATTCTAATTCTCTATCTCCCCTCTGCCCCCTCCACGCTTCTCTTTCAAAATAGCCTTAAAGTTTTACGACTGACTTTCGAGAAGAGATGTTGTGTAAGGGGGTAATGGAGTACTCTGCGGATTCGTGGCGCAGTTCTCTGAGGCCATCTTCCAAAGGCTCCGCTCAGCACAATGGTTGCTGTTATTTAAAAAACTAAGATGCAGAATTTGCTTGCGCCTTTATTTCCTGCTTCCGGATTAGGGGAAAGCCAGTAATCCCTGGGTGTCCTGGACCTCAGCCCCCTTTTTCCAGGGGAAGAGTGAGAGGCCACCACGTAGACTCTCTCTGGGAACTGAACTTTGATTCGCTGCTTCAGGGGGAGGGAAGAAGTCTATTTTATTTTAGTCCTGGACGCGTGTTTAATTTAATTTAATTTTCTATGGGGTCTCTTGGCAGCAGGGAAGCAGCCTTCTACATTAGTTTTGGTTCCTAAGGAGAGTCCTAGAACCCTGGGGACAGCGTAGGGGCTCGAATCACCTAGCCCTGGGCATAATGCCTTCCTCACAAACGCGTCTCCTAACGTTAGTTTTAAAGCTCGAATGCTTGGGTTCTTGTTTGAAGTTCACTTGCCAGTGTGGCTGCTCAGGCCGTGAATTCTACAGAAGGCTAACTGGAAGTCAGTGTGACCTATGCTTTACTGAGTCCCTCCGTGTTCCTGGGGTTCTCTGAAAACAACCATGGGAGCCGGGGAGGAGTTCCCAGCCCTTTCCTCCGCCACCCAAGGCTCAGCTTGGCCTCTTCCGTCTGCAGGCCGCTGCCCGGAAGATACCTAGCCGCCCCGGGAAGGCTCCCGGCCGCCAAGCTGCACTTGTGCCGACTGCTTCGGGGTAGCGGTGGAGGCCTAGGGTGTCAGTGGCAGTTTTGCCGGGGGAACCTCTGGGATCCCGCCGCACACAAAGGCTCCGCGGCTGCCCGAGCCTTCTGCGCGGACAGCGAGCGCCACCCTGTGCCACGAGGCCGCTCTGCAGAGCCGGGGCCTAAGGCTCCAGCAGCACCTCACTCCCCACTCCAAAACCTCTAAGTCTGGCTCAATGCGAAAATGTGCTGTGCTTTTTTGATTTTAGGAATCAGTTTAGCGTCTAGGAGAGAAGAGATTCGGTGGGAAGATACAGACTCATAGGACCTTGAGCAGAACAACAAAACTTTTCTTAAAGCGTTGTTCCTAAAACTCAACCATCTCTTTATTTCTTGCTTTTTCTCTGCTCTCTCCCTTCTAATCTTTGGGCCTCTAGGTGCTGGGAGGCGGGGTGGGGGTGGGGGCTAGCAATCAATTTTCTTCAGGCTATATCTTGGTGATAATTTAAAGGAGACCAGAAGAAGATCAACCACTTTGAAAGAGCCCTCTAAGGGTCCTCATTTGGAGAATGTACCTGCAGCCTGCAAGCTATCTGAGGGAAGGAGCTGGCATTTAGCAAAACTCTAGGCCCTCTGTCATGGGTGTTTGTGTTAACTGGGATCCACTCTGTATCCTTGACTGGTCAAGGATGGCGCCCTCAGACTGAGTGAGGCTTCTTCTGGAGTACTAACAGGGAACGCTCCGGGATGCATACCTGTGCAAGACAGAGCTCTCAAGGTTACTCCATTGATTTCACACGGACAGCGGAGCAGCAGAGAGTCTATATTCGGTGCGCAGTGTGCCCAGCGCAAGCAAAGCAAAAGAAAGCTAGTAATGCAGCCACCAACAGCTCTAGAACATAATTGGCAAGTCCCCCTACGGAGCACCACCCTCCTCCCTGAAACCAGCTGGTGGTGCGAGCTCCCCGCCCCCACCCCCACCCCCGAGTCCGGAAAGCCCGGAAACACTGGAATGCCGTGTTCTCTCACCCTATTGTGCCTAGGTGTTGCAAACCACTGAAGTACAGAGCTTCGTGCTTTGATCTCATGGCCCTGCCATTCTGTAGCACAGAGGGGTGGGTTTAAATTAAATTTCTTTTTCTGCTGATAAATTCTAATGGGCCTCGAAAGGTGAATAATTATGCAGTAACATTTCATGGGTTGTTGGAGTGGGAATTCCCACTGCGCTGTCACTAGGAAAAGAATGCTCAATGCTAAATGAAGCTTCGCAAGTAAGCCACAAGTGTCTTTCAAGACCCCTGCCGATAATCCAGGCCATTTTTACTTTTATCTTTCTCGCCTCTGCTAAGCAGTGTCATTTTTTTCTTACATTCAAGGTTTTTTTTTGTGATTAAAAATATTGGAAACAATCAATACTTAAAAGTTTTTTTTAATCAATACTTACATAGTTCTTGAGAGTAAAAAAAAAAAACTGTGTTGTTGATTAAACCATGACAAACACATGACCTTGGCGAAAGCTGAGGCAGTGTTCTGGCAAAGGGAACACACCCAAGCTGAAGGGCCACCTGAGATTTGCCCTCACACTAGATTTAGTTCTGGCTCTCCCTTTTTTGCTTTTATTTTTGGGTTTGTTGCTGCTGCTGCTTTGTTTTCTTATTTGCAGAAAAGTAACCATTTTTTTAAGAGGTGCCTGATCACTAGTTTTGTACCCACATAGTTCAGAAGTGGCTTCTTCACTGGAGAAGGTGTAAACGAAAAAACACCTTTGTTGCTCCAGGTTCCCTAGCTGAGGAGGACTATATCTTGGGGATTTTAATTTATATTTAATCTTATGCCAAGCTTAATAAAAACTGTCAACAGTTTGGACACTGTAAATGTAGCATGGCTATTTAATATCAAGAGGAAAGCAGTCCCTAAACCTAAAAATAAAAGAACTCTAAATTTGTCATTTAAAGCACAATGAAGCCTTTCTTGTTTTTTTTGTATTATTATTATTATGAAAATCCCTGTTCTTCATTCGCACCAGCGTTCAATTCCGTACTGTTTTCCTTGTTTAGTTTGTGTTCTTTAAGTTTCTTCCCTGAAATGAATTGAACTCCCACAAGCATCAAGATTTCTAAATCAACACATAGAAATCAGAGCCTGCTTATCAAGGTTTCGCTCCTCTCTTGGCAACCGTTTGAAAGGCCCAAACAATGAGTTGATTTACATTATGCTCACTTCACCCCGAACTCTGTGCAAATGCTGGATACTTTCAATAATTCACCTTAGGTTATCTTTATGTCTGTGGGGAACCAATCCTTCCAGCTCTCAAGTTTTTGGCCACTGCATTTTAAATCCTGAAATAGAAGAAAGTAGAGTGCCTCCGCTTCGCGGAGTTCAAGTAATTGACTAGTTCAACTGAAAGGAAAAGGTTTGTACTGCCCAATTTTGCACCCAATTTAATGCCCCCAATTACATGGGGACCCTGTCATCAGGTTTCCCACCACTTCAGGAAGCTGGGTCCTTGCTTGTATGTTTGTTGATCAGTGCTTGTTCCCCCTGCATACCTATCCCTTAGTTCAGCCCCACCCCCTTCCCTAAGCAGGTTCTTTCCCCATTCAATTTAGCCAACAATGGCCTTTGTAAAGGAAGGAACTTTGTGGCTGGTGGAAATGTATTGAAAAGAGATTTTTGTTGCCTCTTACATTTTAAAAGGATCGTTGAGTTATATCTACTCTAACTTGTTAGATATGCGAACTCATCATCTGGGAGAAAATAATTGTGTAATATTATGTCTTACCTCAACTTTAAATGAGCTGTATTAGGTTACACACATACAAGACACTTCCCAAGTCCTTGGTAAGAAACACACATACATGACACTATCCACGTCCTAAGTTAGTACGTTACACACATACATGACAGTTTCCATGTCCTCAGCAAGTTACACACATACATGACACTATCATGTCCTCAGTAAGTTACACACACACATGACACTTTCCATGTCCTCAGTAAGTTACATACACATGACACTATCATGTTCTCAGTAAGTTACACACATACATGACACTATTATGTCCTCAGTAAGTTACACACACATGACACTACCATGTTCTCAGTAAGTTACACACACATGACACTTTCCATGTCCTCAGTAAGTTACACACACATGACACTTTCCATGTCCTTAGTTAGTACGTTACACACACACATGACACTATCATGTCCTCAGCAAGTTACACACATACATGACACTATCATGTTCTCAGTAAGTTACACACATACTTGACAGTTTCCATGTCCTCAGCAAGTTACACACATACATGACACTATCATGTTCTCAGTAAGTTACACACACATGACACTATCATGTCCTCAGTAAGTTACACACACATGACACTATCCATGTCCTCAGTAAGTTACACACACACATGACAGTTTCCATGTCCTCAGTAAGTTACACACACACATGACACTATTATGTTCTCAGTAAGTTACACACACATGACACTATCATGTCCTCAGCAAGTTACACATACATGACACTATCCATGTCCTCAGTAAGTTACACACACATGAGACTTTACATGTTCTCAGTATTGACATATTTAAGACAATATCATAGTTTAAGTACTGTATTAATGACTGCAGATCACTAAAGCCACTTAACAAATATTTTGAGAACAGAACATTGTGTGTCCTGTATACACATTTTATAGGAGGCATGACACATTTTCTTTAGTATGTTTCAATGAAACGTGTTACCAGTGACATGTGTTTATTTGTGTGTTTTAGTATGAATACCCAGAAAGTCAGATTATTTAAGTTTTTCCATTCTTAAAACTCTACTTGTTTTGCAGGGAGGTTACTTCCACAAAGGTGTGCTGAGTACCGGTGGGAGGGAGACAGTGCTTATGTCTGCCACTTCTTCAGTTATTCTTTGGTCTGAAGTTTGGGTATGTTAAAATTTACTTAAAGGTGAACTATTGGCTATGGGATCTTAGGTAGTATACAGAATTTCCATGGTTCCCCTCACCCAATATCTTATCCAAAAATTTTAAGAAAATTTATCTAATTTAAGTCTATAATTTTATTTCATGTGTGGACAGCCAGATTAAAAACAATCTGTCAGTGCTGGGCAGTGGTGGTGCACACTTTTAACCCCAGCACTCGGGAGGTAGAGGCAGGTGGGCCAGCCTGGTCTCCACGAGCTCTTTTCAGGACAGCTAGGAATGTTACACAAAGAAACCCTCTCTCAAAAAAGACAAAAAAACAAAACAAAACAAAAACCTGTCAGTATTCCTTTCTTTTTCTTTTTTCTTTTGTTCTTCCCTTTGAGATAGGGGTCCTGGCCATCCTGAATCTCACTCTGTAGGCCAGGCTGGCCTCTAACTTAGAGATCTGCCTGTCTTTGCCTCTTGAGCAGGTGCTAGGATTAGAAGTGTGCGCCATCACTCAGCTATGGTCAGTATTCTTACTTTAAATAATTAAATGTACATCTTTAGCAGCATTCTATTTATAATCTATATTTTAAAATTTTATACTTCGAAAGGACTTATTTTCCTTAATATTAAAATACAAGCAATTTAATGATTTCATTTATTTCTTCTTATTTTTTGACTTGATTTTTAGGTTATGTTTGTTTTGGAAATTGAGTTTGTCAGAGTCCAAAAAAGGTTTAAAAATTGGGCCTCTCTTTTTTTTCTGTCTGTCTCTCTCTCTTTTCTTTCTCTTTCAGTACAGGTTAAGTTTGTCTTTTATATTTAAAAAATTGCATATATTTTTGTCTTGTTCAATTAAGATTATAGAAAAAAATAAAAAAAATTCTAGTTAGGAAATCTTCTCATTTGACTAGATTTCCAGCAAAACACTAGATAGTGAGTTAAATTTGAATTTCAGGCTAACAGCAAATATTTAAAAAATATAAATGTACCTTCCACAAAATTTGGATCGTGTTTATACTAAAGTTGTACAATAGACTTTTTAAAATATAAAAGTTTGATAGAAGCCTTGACTTTTTATTTTGCTATTTAAAACTAATTTTTAAACTAGAACTGAGATGACATCATGTTCCCACTTCCTCCTCAACCCGTGTCTGTTCTCCTCCCCAGCCTCACTCCTCAACTTCCTGACCTCTTCTTCTTTAATTGGTATGGTTTATATCGATATGCATGGTAAGCAGATATATCCTGGGGCCTGATATGTAAACTTCTGATAAACTTTAGAATACAAGGAAGGCACAGATTACTGTAGGATAAGAGCGTTTAAAGATGCGAGGTAGAAATGGCCACATTGCTCTCCCCAGGAGGACAAAGCAGCTTCGACTCCAGCAGACAGAAATTAGTTTCAAGCCACAGCCTTTATGACTGAAAAAGCATGGGATAAAACCGGACTCTCTGAACTTGGCGAACAATGAGGGCTGATGAGAAGCCAAGGACAATGGCACGGGGTTTTGATCCTACTTCATGTTCTGGCTTTGTGAGAGCCTAGCCAGTTTGGATGTTCACCTTCCTAGACATGGACAGAGTGGGAAGGACCTTGGACTTTCCACAGGGCAGGGAACCCTGACTGCTCTTTGGACTGGAGAGGGAGGGGGAGAGGAGTGGGGGGAGGGGGAGAAGGGTGGGAGGAGGGGGAGGGAAATGGGAGGCTGGGAGGAGGGGGAAACTTTTTTTTTCCTTTTCTCAATAAAAAAAAATATGGGCAAAAGAAAATTCAAAAGCAAAGATAATGCTTGTTTTCAAAGTTTATGTTTAAAACTCTTACCTAA